ATAATATTGATTATACTAGTGAATTATATTAGTTACACATCTGAACTTATTTGTAGTGTTTCTGGTCTCGAATTTCAATTAAAATATGACCAAAAAAAAATAAATTGCAAAATATTTTCAAGGAATGTACGCCGCTAAATAAATTATGTATTTTCTGGTACATAGAAATAACTCCGTCTCCAAAAGGGACCAGAATTTCTTTATGGACAACCCAGGATTTAGAAAGCAATAGATTATGAACTCATACAAACTTGAAGATGATCAAATACAAGAAGCAAAAATACCAGAAGATGCGGAAAAATCAGACGAGGTCGTTCGACAATATGGACGATTAAAAGTAAAACTCAGTTTCAAGAAGAATAATGAAAGTCTAAGAATGGTGATCATCAAAATGACAAATGCCGTTTGTCGTTATATTTGAAAATAATATTATTTGTAGCAAGGGAAATATACAACTTCGATAAAAAATATTAAAATATTTAATGATGTAAGAAACAGCTCTATGACATTATTTTTTTTTTTCTGATTAAATACCAATTACTATTTAATAAAATAATATGTCAGATAATAACCTACAATTAATTAGTTTGAAAATGACTAAATCATATAAGATTTCAGAAATCATTCGTAAAATATAAAAAAAAAATAAAATATTTTAATTTAATTTATTTAAAATTGAGGCAAAAAAATATTTTCTAAACACGGCGTAACTTTTATTTTTCACTAACCACCAAATAATAAATATTTATGAAATCGATATAGTATGCTTAATAGAGGGGTGTCGAACGAAAAACTAAGGATGAGAGAAGTTTATTTCAAATTGAGAAACTCACAATATTTAGATATATGTTCAGAATAGTTGGTCTACATATTGTGATTTCTCAAAATTTTTGCCATTGGGGATAATTTTAGAATATTTGTATTATTGTTTTACGAAATAGATATTTGTTAAAACAAGTGACGATCGTCTTTTCTCCAGATTCTCGAATTGTAATTTTTAGCATCTTGAATTGCTTTTGATAATTCTTCAAAATGATTAATCTACGGCGGCATATTTTATAAAATAATTATTGATTTCGGTTGGACATAACGACTCTGAATGACCAACGTTTCTTGTTGATAAACAACCAATCGTACATGACCAAACAAACATCCAGACATAAACGTTTCTTTGGGCTGAACCATATAAAAGAGCAACAAGGAAATTAGTTAAAAAATAGTGACTTCCCCCGAACCATACTTATATAATATAAATATTACCAACATTAGACTCTTATATCTGCGATTGATCGGTAGCTCATGTTAACCGATTGTCCTGTTGCTTAGTAACGTAATAACTGTTGGGGAAATTTTTTCATGAAGCCATTTCCATGTCCAGCCATGATCTCAAACTAGACAGAGTAACTCGAGACGTTTTACAAAGAGAGTGTTGTTCGTCACAGTTATCAATACACCGGCGTACGTAATTTCTTACCATCCGCCTCATTTACTCTAAAATCAACAATGGTCAGACAAGTTGTAAACGCATTCCGTGTAAAATAAAAGACAGCATCATTGCCCATCTTATAGCCTTAACCACATTATACAACTAGTAACAGCTAGTACAGATAAACTTGAAAACACCAATGTAGATTCCTGATGGTAGTCAAACAGGAAGTGGTTGAATGTTTCTCTTCCATTTTCGAATGAAACATGCTACGTGATTCATTTTTTTACATGAATTTAAATGTATTATGTTTGCAGCATTAAACAAACTTGCTTGATCTTCATATAAACTCTGTGCTATAAGCCGAAACTTCATAAGTCGATACTTATCTGAAATGTATTACCACGCTTCTGAATAAAGAAAAAATAACATTTACAGTTAGATTTCTTTGCGATAAGTGTTTCTGAGGACCACGGATGTTGCTGAATGCAATCAAAACATAAAATATTCATTTCACTATATAATCATCAGAGTAAACTATAAATAAATTCAACAAACTAATGAGCTTAAAGCATCATCAAGAAAACAAAATCAAACTAAACAAAGCAAGCAAACAGTTTGCCAAGGAAATGGAAGAAAATAATCCAGCAGACCCCCCAGCAACCGGAATAATAGGACCGACAATTGGACCCGGCGTACTGGTAACTTGAGAGGCAACAGTAGTTGGAATATAAGGCTCGGCAGTATTTCCAGAATCAGTAATCGTGAAATAAACAGTGACGTTTTGTCCATTCGAATCAGTAGCAGTATCGGCGTCACTTCTCACATTTCCCAGGGGGGGAACTACGACTGCTGTACCGGCAGGTGGAGTACCATCGAGGTGAATTGCAGTTGTAGTAACGTATGGAGTTTGACCATGGGCTGTTGTAGGGGTAACAAACACAGCAATTGTCTCTGTAGAACGAGTACCATCGGTTGAGTGGGTATTTACGTTTGGATCATCCAGGGTAAATGGAACAGCTGGTACGACGGTTATGGCTGAAGTTGTAATCGTGACATCTGTTGAGGCCATTCCACTAGTTACAGTAACAAAGCTTGGAATTGTGGTATCGGTTGTATGAATAATTGAAGTTGTGGACGTACTTAATGGAGTCTTTGTTGTAGCCGTGGCAATAGGTGTACGGGTCGTAGGAGTTGTTTGTGTCGTTTCTGTGGTACTACGAGAAGGGTAAGGACTTGGGGTAGTAGATGAGCCAGTAGGCGAGACCAGTGATGATTCTGGAGATGGCTCTGGAGATGGCATTGGAGATGGAATAGGCGATGGTACTGAAGATGGAACCAAAGATGAATCCACAGATGGAACAGGTGTTGGTTCTGGAGAAGGTACAGATGATGTATCTGGAGATGATACTGGAGATGGTACCGAAGATGGCTCTGAGGTTGATTCTTGGCCAGTTGATGTGGTGGTCTCATTGGTAGTGTCAGGAGTTGTTTCGGAGGTTGTATCTTGAGTACTTCCTGGATCAGTTCCGGATGGTGTTTCTGGGGCAGTAGCAGGAGTTGTCTCAGGAGTCGTCTCAGGAGTCAGGAGTTGTCTCAGGAGTTGTCTTACTCGTGGGTTCACAGTAGTGGTCTCTTCAGGAGTTTCAGTTTTCGTCCCTGGAGTGGTCTCAGGGGTTGTCTCAGGGGATATCTCTTGGCCCTTCCAGTGTTTCAGTTGTGCTCTCAGCGGTGGTACCCTGAGTTTCAGTTGTGAGCTCAGTAGTAGTATCGTCCAGAGTTTCAGTTGTGATCTCAGTAGGGGTCTCGTCCAGAAGTTTCACTTGTTAACTCAGTAGTGGTCTCTTCGAGGGTTTCAGTAGTCAATTCAGTAGTTGTATCAGAAGGTTCAACGGTGAAAGTAATGGTAGTCCAATGTTCGTCAGTGGTTGTAATTGTAAGTATGACGGTCGGGCCCTCTTTTTCTGTTGAAGTAACAACAACTGGATCTTGGGGAGGGATATGATCAGGAATCTCAGAATCGCAAGATTCAGGACAGGGGATATTTGGACCAGGTAGGTAATAACAAACACGAACTCCGTAATTTGTATTTTCTACGTCAAACATAGACTTGTCGTAAAACTCACCAATGTGAAAGCGATAATAAATTTGAGGGGCACGCTTTGCCTTAAATCCGTCAACAACAAACAGCTTGGCAACTATTCTTAGTTCTGAATTTTGATAGTCGATATCCGTATTTCCAGGATCATCGAGCATAGCTTCGATACAATCTCCACCGCCAAATTGAAATAAATTAATGACAGGAAGAATTTTTGGATAGTTAACGACAAGCGTCGAATGACCAGAGTTGAAGCAAACTGATGATTTCCAACTAGATACCTGAATCAAGTCAAGAATTGAATCCGTAAGCACAACATAGCCACCACTGTTACTACTTTCGTCGACAGCAATAAAAAATTTCACATTGGTAACACATATTACACCAGTATTCTTAAAAGATTGTAGCACGTCAAGTCTCCCTTTGTTGTATTGGTTAACGTCAGTTACAACATGAATAATCTTCTTCTCATTATGTAGACCCCTTAAAAAACGTACTACCGAGTTGAAGTAGCTACTTGTCCATAACGTAAAAAGATTTTTATTGTCCAAAAAACCTATGTAAAATAGATTATCAGTTAATGTATGGTGGGTGTTAATATGGTAATTTCCATAATTTTGAATATCTCCAGCCAAGTAAAGAAAGCGTAAATTTCGAAAGTTCGTATGGAAGAACGAAAGTCCACTGTTCATAAAGGAGCTAATCGAATATTCGGGAACGTCAATAAGGGCCCAAAGCTCATCCGTTTCAACTGAAACATCTTCGCCATAATACGTCCCCCCTCTTTGAATAGGTTCATCTATACCCGTGAAAGCTGAAACCATGCATTTCAGAAAAATCAAAAATAAAATTGTTGTCCAATTGTGAAGAATCATTATAATTATTTGTATAGGTTAATCGAAGAAAAGATAGGAGAATACTTCCTGACGGAAGATGAACCGCTTTGAGACACTTTAAATACTTCAGAATATTATATCTCATTACATATCAGCTGCCTGCGTCACCTCATAATATGGTTGAATGACCAAACAGAAGTCCCTAAGTTTATATATTAAATTGAGAATACAAAATAAAAAATAATTGCCAAAAAATTATTTTACATCCAGTGAATTTGTTGAACATCTTTAAGCCCAACAGATAACTCACAGATAACTCATTCAAAAAAAGCATACTGGGATTCAACGAGTCTCACCAAGATGTACTTAGGGCACCATGGGCTAAATTATCGAGGATGCCAGCTTACCACCAGATCAATATAAGCAACAAATAATATCAGAGTACATTGAGAAACGAAAAACGACAAATGTCAAAAGCAAACGGAGTTGTATCGAATATCTAGAGAAATAAAAGGAAGGCAAGCGGGACCAGAACGCAGGATGACAAGAATACAAACATTGAGAATGAAAGATTGATCATAGCGTAAGTCTCAATCATAAGAAATAAACATAATTTGCAAGTAAACACGGAAATAGAAGATATTATAATAAAACAGAAAAACCGCCTGATTTGCAACTTCTCAGAATTACAGGCTCCATTTATTTGAACGAACTGTAAACATATCATAACAAAATAATACGTCAAACAATAACTTAATTAATTATTTTTTTTAAAAAAAAAGGTGGGCTCTTCCACTTCCTTTATTCAAATTTGGGTAACATATAATCTAACTACAATTCCCTCCTTATACACCTACTAGTTTATGCTGCTTATATGAATCATTGGCTGATGCATTTTTTTCTTCCTCTATTTCTATATTTGTTTATTATGTTTCTGTATGTTATTATGTACAATGAATGGTATTTAATTACTTATCAGAAAAAAAGGAAAAATTTTAAAAATGACCAAATCGTATGAGATTCCAGAAAACTAGTAAAAGAAAAGTAAATTTAATTAGAAAAATATTTTCTAATAATACACGGCGTTACTTTTATTTTCTCTTACCATAATAATTATTATTTAAGAAATCTATATAATATTGCTTAACAGACGTGTTGAAACAAAAAAATAACGATGACAGAAGCTCAATAATTACTGGCTTTCCTTCGACATAACGATTCTGCGATGATCGCCGCTTCTTGTTGATAAACAACCAATCGTACATGACCAAACAAACATCCAGACATAAACGTTTCTTTGGGCTGAACCATATAAAAGAGCAACAAGGAGATTAGCTAAAAAATAATAAATTCCCCCGAACCATACTTATATAATATAAACATTACTAACATTAGAGTCTTATATCTGCTATTGATCGGCAACTCATGTTAACCGATTGTCCTGTTGCTTAGTAACATAATAACTGTTGGGGAAAATTTTTGATATACCCATTTTCAGGTCTAGCGATGATCTCAAATTAGACAAAATAACTAAAGAGGTTTTTCAAAGAGAGTGTTGTTCGTCTCAATTACCAATACACCGGCGTATGTGACAGATACTGCCGATTTACTTCCCTTATTTGATTTGCCGTTTATTTTATTTATTAAGCTAAGTTTAGAGTCGATTTCTTATCATCCGCCTCATTTACTCTAAAATCAACAATGGTCGTACAAGTTGTAAACGCATTCTATATAAAATAAAAGACAGCATCATGGCCCATCTTATAGCCTTAACCACATTATACAATAAGTAACAGCTAATACAAATA